ACCTACTTTAAAGGCTTATTTGGAAGATTAAATGAGATAGTACGTGTGACAGCTCGGAAAAGTGTTTGGCACTTAAGTTCTTGATGAAGTTTAGCTCATATTTTTACTTTAATTGTTATAATTTATATATTTAAAGTCTACAACTTGATGTACTGATATTCATACTGAAATTATTTCTAAAGTAAAAAAATATATATAACGTCTCCATTACCTCACATATGGATGTTTTTTCTATAAGGGCACCCATGTTACTATAAGAGCACGTGATAGATAACCTCTTTTCACATTTCCAGTTGTAAACACAATGTTGTTAACTATTATCTTTATGCTCTAAATTCTACCTCTAGGCTTATTTACCCTACATATCACGTGGCCTTTATTTTCCTATTTCCTCTCCCACAAAATCCTACCCCTTTCTGCCCTTAGCTTCAATATAGTCAACGTTTATTTTTAATTACATTGTAAATGAGATTATACAATATTTTTCTTTCTGTGTCTGGCATAGTTTACTTAGCATAATGTCCTTCAGTTTCACCTGCATTGTATCAAATGGTGAGATTCTGTTCTTTTTAGAACTGAATACTTTTCTCTTGTATACATGAGTGCATTTTCTTCATATATTCCTTATTCAATAGACAAAGATTGTTACTGTATCTTGAATACTGTGAATAGTATTGCAATGAGAGTGCAAATAACCTTACAAGGTACTGGTTTCATGTCTTTTGGTGTGTACACTAAGGCAAAGTCATGTAACAATTCTATTTTTAGTTGTTTGTGAAAGTTCCAAATTGTTTACCATAACCCTGCATGAATTTATATTCCTACTATCAGTTTAAAAGGAGGAGGCTTCTGGGCTGCCATACCGCTCCGCTCAGCACAGAAGAGGTGAGCCATGCGGGCACCAGCAACACCCCACTCCTCTCATCAAAATGAGAAAACAGGTAAACAAATCTCAAAACCAGACTTCCAGATCCCCTAAAGCAACCCCAAAGGGAAATGAGATGGAACACTCTGACACTCAACCACCTGG